GCCTCAGCATGGCCGGATAAGTGGTGCGTCGGTGCGCACCCGGGATCCGAACCCGGGCCGCCAGTAGCAGAGCACGCGCACTTAACCGCTAAGCCACGGGGCCGGCCCCTGAAAGTTTTTTTGAAAGTTTTTTTCTTCCTAGTCTGGAAGCTCCGCTGAAACCTGAAACCTGTCCACCATGGGTGACCCTGCTGATATTTGAAATAGTGGTGGCACAGCTTTCAGTATCACAGCTCCATGCAGCCACCACAGAATGACAGCCAGTGTACCAGTGGTGTGGTTCCCTGACCAGGAAACGAACCCAGCCCGCAGCGGTGAGGGCACTGAATCTTAACTGCTGGACCACCAGGGCTAGCTATACAGTACTTATATCATCTTAATATTCAAAATACAAAATCCAGATTATCTGAATATAATACTAGAATTTAAACTGATCATTTGTTTTATTTGTAATGGGAACTCTTGGGATTTTACCTTTTTCCCTACTAATATTTTTAGCTCAGTTCAAGTAGAATTCTATTAAATTGTAAACCCTTGATGAAAGCTGTTGTGACCCTTTGTGTAGTTTTTGGTGTTTCTGTGCTTCCCAGTCAGTGCTTTCTGACTGTTCAGATTTTTATGGAACATTTATGTTTTTACCCATTTTAATAGTTTCTTTCCTTCTTAGGGTATTACATATGACCATGTAGAATTAAATGTATATTTGAATGGAAAAAACATGCATTGTCCGGCATCAGGTATACGAGGGACAGTGTATCCAGTTGTTTATGGTAAGCTAAAATATTTCTAAATATTAATAGATATATGTTAACTTTTGCTTGGCATTTTTATTAACTTTGTAACTAACAGTCAGAAGTCTGGACAAGTTAATAAAGACCTTTTATGTGAAATGTACTCAGTAGAATATCAATCCCACTTTGCAGGACTAAGGAAGGCTTTTATTCCCCATGTATTTTTTTAAAAACTTGCTAAATAAAATGATTATACTTAAATGTACAATAACTGTATTCCCTTTTTTATCATATAGTCTTATTTTCTAGAAAGTTCCAAAAAGCTTCACTGAATTTACAAAGATTTTTCGGCCAGTTTTAAGGGAGAATTAGATGAGCAGGAAATGTAATTGTAAAGAATATTTTCTTTACAATTGGGATGGGAATTTTATGTAGATTGAGCATTAGTTACCTTTATAAAATTACCCAAATGTTAAAACTCTTCTGAGAGAAATTATGACTTAGAATAGTTTCATATTGATTGTTTTGCATTTGATAGCTATGTGTGTATAAGTAATATAGTTTCTGTACAAGTGTGTCTGTCCAAGAATTGGGTTACTTAAGAGATGACTCTATATCACTTAATTACTTTAATTTTTATTATGGAGAACTTCAAACATGTATAGAAGTGAAGAGAATAGTATAATGAACTCTCATGTACCCATCACCCAGCTTCAGACAATTATCAACTTGTAGCCAATCAGGTTTCATCTACCCCTTAACGCTTCTGTTCTTCACCTCCCCTCCTTGGGTTATTTGGAGGAAAATGCCAAACATTGTATCATTTTATTCATAAATATTTTATGTGCATCTCTAAATTTTGAAGTGTATCTCCTTATAAAAAATAACAAACATACGCACAGTGCCTTTATCCCTCTATTCTGCTTTATTTTTTGTGTTATCAACTTTAAATCAACAGGTATATGATTTTTCTGCCTATGGTTTTAGTAGACCTAAAAGTATTTTCTCCTTTAACTACATTAAGTTCTCAGATTTGAGCTGTAATAAAAACTAATTATTAACTGTTTTGTAGTAATTTACCAGAAAAGTAGCCATGTTAGTGATGATGGACTGTTTGGGATGTCAGAAAGGTATACAATAACAAATATAAATATTTAACAATATGATAATAACAACCAAGGCCTATGCTTTACTTTTTAGTTAACATTTTTAGTAGTCGTCTTTTCTCCTAAAAATTGCTTTTCAGTGATTTTACCTTCTGTGTCTTTACATGTAAAAGTGTATTTTTAAACTCAATTTAGGTTTGTTTCCTTGCCATAATGGGTAAGCCTAAAAGCAATTCCTTTATTTACTTAAATAAATGTAAATGTAGCTTAATATTCTAAATAGTTTAGTTTGAGAAATGAAATAAATATCAGTAGAATGAGTTATACAAATGAGTGTAGCAAATAAAATTTTATTCTAAATTATTTTTGCTTCAGTATGATTTTTTAATGTAGTAAAGTTATAGATAGTAAATTATATATAGTAAAGTATATTTCATAAATTTAAATTGATAAATCAGTCCAATTAAACCAAATATTTTAATAATCTGATACTATCAAAGATAAAAATAAAACTTAAATTCCCTTACCATTTGTCCTCCATCCCATTGTCCTCCTTCCCATCCCTAATCCTGGATCAATCCAGTCATTCATTTTGTCGATTCTTAACACTCAAACTATGAGAGAAAAAACTATAACACTGAAGAAAAGTATTGTTACGAAGTTATGACTTCCAGTCTAATGGAAGCTCTCAATATTTTTGGCGATTCTTTTGCATCTCTGCACATTCCGGGCCTTCACCGTGCCTCTTGAATTCTCTGCTCACTTTCTGCAGGTGACCTTCCCTTCTACTTTGTAAAGAAACAGGGTATCATAGTGAACTCCAGCTTCTCTCCCTTACCCTCCTGAAGCTTTTCTGGATGGACTCTAATCTTGCCTTCTTTCCATCCCATCTCAGAGGAAGTGGTGCCCTTCATGTCAAAAAACTCAGTCTACAGTCTAGATTTCAAACTTCCCAACTCTGGGACTTCACTTTGTCAATTATTTCATCTATATCTCATGTCATCAACCTCTCTCTTCACTGCCTGTAAACATTCTGAGTCATTCTCATCCCCAAAAACCTTCCCTTAAACTCATACCCCTCACTAGCCGTGTGTTGACCCTTCTCTGTGGCCACGTTTGTTGTAGAGTAGCCTACACTACTGTCCTTATTGTATTGCTCATTTGTTCTTCAGCCTGGTGGGGCTGCCTTACCACCACTTCACTGAAACCACCCTGGTTAAAATCACTAGTGACTTCGTGAATGTCAAATCCAGTACTTAGGTTTTTTCCTGCATTTATTACGAAACATAAAATATTTAGTAATGTGCATTAAACATATATGTGCAGTTTAACAAATAGCGATAAAGTGAATACCCATGTCGTTACCACAGTCAAGATAATGAACATGTTCATCACCCCTAAAAGTTTCCTCCTGCTCACTTGTAATCCTTCCTGCTCACCCCTCCCCACCGCAGCCCCAACCAGGCACCACTGATCTGCTTTCTGTCACTACAGATTATCTTGCATTTTTAGAGTATTATATGAACAGAATCATACAGTTTGTACTCTTTTTTTTTTCAATCTGGCTTCTTTCACTCGGTCTAATTATTTTAAGATTCATTTATGTTGTAGCATGTATCAATAATTCTTTTATTTTTATTGCCAAGTAATATAGTTCATTGTGTGAATATATCACAATTTGTTTTGCCCTTCACCTGTTAATGGATATTTAGGTTGTTTCCGGTTTTGGGCCATTACCTATAAAGCTACTATGAACATTCCTGTACAAGTCTTTGTATGGATGTATGCATTCCTTTCTCTCAAGTAACTGCTGGTAAAAACATGTAGAAGCGGAATAAGGCCTGCAGTCCGGTGAACAGTGTTGTATCGACGTCAGTTGTCTGGTTTTGATATTGTACTGTAGTTATGTGAGATGTTACCACAGGGCAAAGCTGCGTGAAGCGTACACAGGACTCTATTATTTTTGCAACTTTCTGTAAATGTATAATTTTGCAAAATAAAATATTTTTTAAAAAGTTGTATAGCTTAATTGTATAAAATTGAGAAAATATAGGTTGGCAAATAATGAAAAAATTAAAATTACCCATAGTCACACCATCTAGAGATAATTATTAATATTTTGAAGTATATATCCTTCCAGTGTTTTTGATAGATAGATTCTTTTTTTCATTGTGGCTTTCTTTAGGTCCAGTAAGATCATGTTTTGTAACCTGGACAACCGATGTGTTTATTCTTCTTGCCCATTGATGTTATGGTATTATGGAAATAGTTTATTTTATAATTATGTATTCATTCAGTTTGAGGTGTTTGCTTCTAATTTATTTTCTTTCTTTTTCTATCTCTAGTTGATGACAGTGCAATTTTGGATTGCCAGTTCAGTGAATTTTATCATACTCCTCCGCCTGGTTTTGAAAAAATATTATTTGAACAGCAAATCTTCTGAATGTATTTGTTTTTGAAACTTGTATTTCTGCACTGTTAAAAGTGTTTACCATTTAATAAAACTTTACCTGACCTTTAGATGAAAATATATTCTTAAAAATATGCTTGTTAATGTTGTTTAAGGAACCAGTGTATTCAATATACCGCCCAGAAGTTGTGATTTAAAATACTTATGTTTTGTGATATGAAATCAGCATTATGGGCAGTTTATTTAATTCTTATTTAAATAATATAACTATGGGTTTGATTAGCAATATTAAGTGGAAATATGTATATTGATATTTAAAAGGGAATCTTTCTTACATAAAATATTTTTTTGATAGAGATGTAGAGTTGGGTGGGCTTTTTGTCATTCTTAAGTTTAGACCTCATTACCTATTTTAAGTCTGCAGTTCAATAATTTTGTGGCTCCATTTCCTTTTTTATATAAAGCAAAACAAAGTGACAGAAATTTATATTATTTTCAACTTCTTTTTTGGCGATTTATTTACTGCAAAATGTGCCACTTCAAATTTAAATAGCTTATTTTGTTTGTATGTCATTGCTTTTGATTTGCTTTGTGAAAGGAGATAAGTGTCTTAGTAATGGTCAGAGTGTTTTGTTGGAGACCATCGTGCTGTGTTACTTCAGTCCCAGGGGTAGGTAGTGGTTTTGTGGTGAGGTAGCATACACTGGCAGACGTGCAGAATAGTCTGATGCTTTAAACTTAAACGTAAATGGGATTGTTCTTTTGAGGACTTTTATTTAAAGGTGTGTTTTTCTATAAAGAATAATAAAATAATAGTAATTAAGGAGTATCCAGTACTATATTAAACACCTGTTTTTCCTGTTTTGTTAATTATACAGTAAATTCACTTCACCCTGGATTATTTCAGAAGTTCAGAGATAAGTGAATCCTCTCCATGACCCTGAGCCTTTGCCTAGTTTTCAGTAAGAATTGCTGTCCTTAAGTTAGCACCCTACTAACCTGAAGTAATTACTGTACACATCTTTGGTACAGGCCCTTTTCAAATGAGCATGCCAGAGATGCATACGTGTCACTCCTCTATCAACAGGGAGCAGTAGGTTGTACTGGAAAAACATGGCATTAGAATGGAAGGAGATCTGAGTTGTAGTTTTGCCACCTAATCCCATTATCTCCTCAGGCAGGTTCTCAGTCTCTCTGAGCCCAGATTCCCTATTTATAAAAGGGATAATCATACTTACTTGATAAGATTCTGTAAACTAGTTAATAGGTAATATATGTAAAACACCCTCATCATCGTTGGCCCTTAATATATGTGTATTCCTTATTGACTCTAAAGCAGTGGTTTTCAGCATCAGCATCACCTGGGAACTTGTTAGAAATGGATGTTCTCAGGCCCCACCCCAGACCCGCTAAATCAGAAACTGCTAGGGATAGTGCCCAGGAATCTGTGTTTGAACAAGCCCTGCAGGTGATTCTGATACATGCTGAAGTTTGAGGACCACTGCTCAGGAGAGAATTCTTTGAGAATGATTGCCTACTATAAATTTCCTAAGGATTTAAGCCAGACTGTTTTTGACCCATGGACAAGAGAATCCTGCACAATATTTATTTATTATTTATTTGGTTGACAAAAACATGACAATGTGCTTTGAAAACATACATATACTTCTGTAACATTTGTTTACATAAATCTCAAACTTTACTTCTGAAGATATATAGAACTGAACTAACTGTATATTACTTATGCATTTTTGTCTGACTTTCTGTCCTAATTTTAATTCATAAAGAACATGCTTACTTGGGAAAGCAAATTAAAATTACTGTTTGCTGTCTTTAAAATGTTGTCTACCTCTTAGTTATTTTTTTAAAAGCTAACCTTTGCTTTTCATTACATTCTTTTCTCAAGACTATCTTTTCTATCTCTAATCATACAGAATTGGCACCATACTAAAAATCATACATGAGTTGTGTCCATGGACAGTTTGATGAAGTCCAGATGTGTTTTTAATCTGTAGGTGTCTAATGCCTCTTAGGAAAATTACCTCCCTGAAACCTATAATCTCAGTCTAATCTTGAGAAAAACACCTGACAAATTCCAGTAAAGGGGCATCCTACAAAATACTTGAGTGGTTCTCCTCCATACTGTCAAAGTCATCAAAAACAAGGAAATTCAGAGAAACTGTCACACCTAAGAGGAGCCCAAGGAGACATGACAAGTAAATATAATGTTGAATCCAGGAACAGAAGAAAGACATTAGGTTAAAAACTAAGGAAATCTGATAAACTATGGACTTTAGTTAATAATAATATGTCAATATTTGTTTATTAGTTGTAACAAATGTACCATATAAGATGTTAACAGAAGAAACTGGGAGAGGGGATATGCGGAAACTCTCTGTACTGTCTTAATTTTTCTGTAATCTAAACTGTTCTAAAAAATAAAGTCTATTAAAAAATTACATTGAGCTAGGAGAAATTTAAAAATGAAGCCTTTCATGAAGCCAATAGAATATTAGTACTGTATATACTCATAGCTGAAATGTTTAATGATAGGTAAATGTAGACATAGATGAGATGTCAAACATTCTTGTCTGTTAATACACAGAGACCTGCATTTGTTCCTGGCTGAAGAAACAGTGTCCACCGTTTTGATTCTGTATATTACAAAAATCCATTTGTTCATACTAGTGTAGTTTTTCATATTCAGACTGAAAATTAATGATATGCAATATCAAGGGATTTGCAATGTTAGCTATGCAAAACAGTGAAAATCTTATAATCAGTTTATATATTAAAAACCAGAAAAAGAGAATTTGGCTTTTAACTAACTGCCTTTGGCTCATCAGTTAGGATTATTTGAATATATTTTCAACTTGGATTACAAACTGTTATAAATTAGCAATGGTATAAAATACAGTTTGAATAAGGCTTTTCTAAATCATTAACATAAACAGACACATGCGTAGTGTTGTTGCTCACGTTGCTTTTTTTTCCTGTATGTTTACTTCTTAATGTAAGTCTAGATGTAGACCAGCAAAAGCATAGCTGGAAATGTGAGTGAAACCTTGGACAAATCTTCATAAAATACATTAAATCAATAACTTCTTTTAGATATTGCAAAAATACTAGATGTGATTGTGAGAAGAAAATCTGTAATCAAAACTATAGAATTTCCCTGTACCCAGCTATAACCAAGCATAGTACTCATAAATGAAATATAATCAACTACCACTTATATTAATTTGCGTTAATTATGCAACCTGGCAGGGAAATACTGATAGAAGTACTGGGCCGTTCGTGTGAATGAGTGGAAACGTAGTAGTAGAATCAATTAACTATTGTTCTTCCATTTACCATTTACTGAATAAGATACGAGGCTCCCTTTCAACTTGCTCTTTCAAAATAACTTGTACCAAATTAATGAAATAATGGGTATAAACACAGAAAACTGTTAGATATAATTAGCAATATAAATGAATCACACACCATTTATCCAAGAGCTCTACAGAAATTTAAAGGAAAAATTATCCCAGAATTGGCTGAAATGTGTAGTTTGGGTTGTGTGGGAATCATTACAATGTAGTCATTCAACAATTGAGTCATCGAAGTGTTGTGTTTCATAAATCCTTAAACAAGATAGTCCCTGTCCTCAAGGAACTTTGCTAATTGTAATTATTCATAAGTATAGCTCTAGATCCAAGATATATTGATAAATGAAAAAAGTAAATTGTTAAACGTTTGTATGCATGATATGACTTATTAAAAACAACACAATAGGGGCCGGCCTGGTGGCATAGTGATTAAGTTTGCATGCTCAACTTCGGTGGCCCAGGGTTCTCGGGTTCAGATCCTGGGCATGGACCTACACAATGCTCATCAAGCCACGCTGTGGCGGCGTCCCACATATAAAATAGAGGAAATTGGCACAGATGTTGGCTCAGGGACAATCTTCCTCAAGCAAAAAGAGGAAGATTGGCAACAGATGTTAGCTCAGGACCAATCTTCCACATCAAAAAAAAAAAAAACTATATGGCCTTATGTATAGGAAAAAGTATGAAGTACTATACACCAAAATATTATATCTTAGGAATAAAATTACAGAGAACAATCTCTTTTATATTTATCTGATAAATTTTTTACAATAAACATGTATTGTCTTGGGAATAGAAAAATAATTTTAAAAAATAAGAGAAAAGACTGACTCTGGAGGAAGCCCTGTATACCAGAGAATAGTGAATTTTACATCCACACCTAAAAATCTAAAAAGCTGTGGTAGAATTCGATTACATAATTACAAGATACATTGTGTTTCATGGCAGTTTATTTAAAAGGATTCAGAAATTTTAGTTGATGCCAAGCCAGGCACAAGTGTAAGCTTAGGGGAGTGTTAGTGCTAGTGAAGCCACATGTGGAGTAGCGCAGTTCTAGTAGACACTGCACTTTAAAAGAACACTGATAAGGCAGCAAAGGCTACCAGGCTGCTGAGGGTCTGCATAATTAATCCTTGAATGAATGAATGAATAATCCTTGAGGGCACTGGGAATGTTAGAAGAAAATACTCAATCCACTGGGCTATTGAAGCCACAATAACTTGTGAAATGCTCATCATTATAAGGAGACTAGAAACAAAGCCAAAAAATCTATAGATTTAGGTGTGTGATTCTCATAAATGTGTTTCAGGAAAGACAATCGTAGATGTGTTTCAGATATCTGATGGTTCATTGCTAAAAAAAAACCAGGGAGATTTATTCTCTGTTGCCCTGGAGGCAGAATTATTGGAAGGTACATGGAAGCAGATTTTAGTTTAAGATGGGAACGAACTTTCCTGCTAGTTCACTGCTAAAATTGCTGCCTTGTAAAGAAATGAACTTCTGGTCCCTGGAATTGTTCTAACAGCTGTTTTTAAATGTAGGTTTTATTATTATTCAGGTATCGTGTGGCAATAGATCAGGAGATGACTGCCATTGAAAAAGATGCCAGAGCATCAAGAATACAGAAAACAAGAAAATATAATTAATACACAGGCTAGAAGACTATCCCAGAGATCTCTTAAATATGGTTCCTGCTTTGTTAGAGGCTGAACTAGATAAACTCTGTGATTCTGATTCACTCAGATTGTTGCCAAGTCTCCAAACAAGTTAAACTGGAAACAAGGAAATGGGAGATGTAAGATCTCCAGGGCTCTATGCTAGGATTTGTCATATTAAAATTCATGTTAATTCTGGAAAGGGAGATGATTCTAAAGTTTATTTAGGAATGTAGTGCCAGCTCACAGGGTAAACTAGAGGTGTCTCACAGTTCTGTGAGTAGACAGAAGTGACTTATAAGTGATGAACAAGAGACTGAGATGATATATTTGGGGATAAATTGTTAAAACTATGAGTATGGTCTCCTCGGTCTTATTTAAGCTCAGAAAGAGATCTCCAAAGTACCAGTCCAGGGTGTGGTCACAATCAAAAGTATCTGTAAAATGCTATTATTAGGAAGAGTTTTGAAGTAAAGAGAGAATTGTATCAACCATTATAAGAAACAAGACACAAAACTTATCTTTCCTTACCTATGTTTGGTTTGCTTATTGCATTTCAGGTGAAAAGGTGAGTTGAAAAAAGCCCACGGAAGATAGCAAAAGTGACCCAGGGAAGATGGGCCACTGGACACACAGGCCTGTCAGTCTGGAAGTCAAGGCTGAGAAAGAATCTATAAAATCTATAAAACCATGGTGAGTGTGGATGGGTAGGTGAACTTGGACTTGCTTATCAAATTCCTGAGCATTAATAATTGAGGCAGCAATGCTTGAAACTTAAAAAAGGAATATTTGGAGGCAGAAATCTTTATGTTATTTTCACGCTGTGTCAGAAACAGGGATTTTTCCACCCAGAGGTGGTATAGGAAGACATAGTTTTGAAACTGAATTGTTAAGCTAGAAGGCATCTTGGAGACCAGTTGACCAAATCCGCACTTCACACATGGAGAAAGGCTCAAGAGAGATGAGGTGTCTTAACCAAGGTGACATAGCAAAATCCAGGTAATTCAGCATTTGTTAAATAAATATAAGCACTTACTCTGTGAGGCACTGTATAAAGTTTATTCTACCCTGCCATGTGA